GCAAATACAGGAGAGGGAGATCTAGAGGCGAGCGGTCTGGCAAATTGGCAATGACAACGGTTTTTGGTGGTGAAGGAAGTGGGGGTGGCCAGAAGTCGGGTGGTGACTAGTGGTTGCGTTGCTCTCCGGAAGTGAAATTTATAAATTTATTGAAATACAATCAAGGTGTTTTATTTTATGGAATTCAATATATTTAAGTACTGGTATTTGTAATCCTAGGGAAAAAAATTTAGGGCCCGTTTACTAATACGATTTTTTTCTATTTTTTCAGGAAACTTGGAGAACTGGAGAAAGGAAAACTGAAAAACATGTTAACCCGTTTTATTCTTCAAAATTGAGAAATAGAGTCATATTTTAATGGAAAGTGGTGAAGTATTTGGGCAATTTAAAAAGAAAGTTGACAAAGATCGATAGATGTATGGGAGAGATGAAGCTTTTGTCATTATTTTATAACTCTGAGCATTTTCAATTTTTGAATTAATTACCATTGTGTAAAACTTTTTAATTAGCATGATATTCCCTCCATACTCTTTTGTTCTACACTTTCCTTTTTGAGATTTATTTTTATTTTTTCGTTGTTTTCTCTCTTTAGTAAGTTTTTTCTTTGAAAAAAAACTCAGATACTTTTTTTTTTAATTTTATCTTCTCTTTTATACTTTTCAACCTCTCTCTTATTTATTGTACATTATTCATTGCCCTATTACGTTTCCCTTAAATATTGTGGCAAATCTCATCATAGCAAACATTTCAATATGAAGTACTTAAAATTTTGAGGCATAGTGTCATGTAGACGCGTACGTACTATTGTCATATAAATTATATAGTGTTTTATTTAAAACAACAAATGTGATAAAGGGCAATTAGGGTACTTTGTGGGATAAATTTACTTTCAATAACTTTTTGTCCACATAAGAATTCAAAAGATCACATTCAATCTTCACACTCTAAAATCCATTTTAAATATTAATTATAGTCATGTTCTGAAGCCTTATAATAGTCCTCATTTGAAATTATTTCACCCTTTCATAATGTAAAATTTGGACTCATCCAAAGCCTCTCAAACTTATAAATCAACATCTTCTTAATCGTTGTATGAATCTTGGTTCCCTTGAATAACAATATAATTACTATAACGGAAACAACATACTTGATAAGAATAATAATTGTAATGACTAATCAATAAAAGGAAGCAAAATGCTTTGTAAAGTTGTATTGAAATAGTTTTACCGGTTGATGATTTATCAAAAACATGTCTAAAGAAAAATGGAATCTATAAAATATTTTAACTTAAATATTTCATTTTTTGTATTTACGTTGATAATCAATGTGTCTATTTAAGGTGTTATACCACATAAGTACGTAAGTGAACAAAATAACCATTGCAGTGTGTAATAATAAGTGGGATAAATGCACAAAATGCACATTGTATTCCTATGAGGGTGTCCTACTGTCCTTCATGTTATATACTCCCTTCCGTCCCGCAAAGATAATTTCATTTTATCCTTTCGGGAAATCCCACTAAAATTGTCTCATATTATATTCGGTAAAGTTCGTGTGGCTCTAAATTATTTTTAGTTTATTCTTACTTTATCAATTTAATATCAACCACATAAACTCACTTTTCTTAATTATCGTGTCACCCTCTCTTGTCTCAATGTTAATAGAATTTTCACTACAAGAATTTCGGAAATTAGTGTCGGATTTTAGTGTCGGTCTTTAAATCCGACAACAATCAGTGTCGGAACTTAATGGCAGAATTCTATCGGCCAGTAATTTGTGGCGGACATTGATCGCTACTAATTTGTAGCGGATTCTGTGTCGGAATTGTTCAGCCACTAATTAGTGTCAGATGTTAGTGACGGATTTTCCGCCACTAAAATCTGTCATAAAATTAGAAGTACATATACACCACAAACGAGTGACACATCATTCCATACACCCACATCTTATCTTCATCTCTCTAAAATATGGATCTGGACGGGATGTAAGGTTAGAACTCTCAATTTTACTATTTCTAATTTTCTTATATTAATTAATTAGTTATATATAATGTTATCCTTAAATATTTCAACTAAATATATGGCATCCTGTTTTTTTGTTAAATATTCAAATTATATTGAGTTCTTAGAGGTCCATGTTTTAAATAAGTTTTCTTTATTAGTCCATCTTTTAGAATTTGTCAAATCATGTTGTTGAATAATTGATTATATAAACTAATTTAAAGATTAATAGTCCTTTTGGTAGATTTAGGTAATGTTTGGAAAAAATGGCCCATTTCATTTTTTTGGCAACCGGCCCATTTCATTAGTGATAGTAAAAAATTGATATTACTTTAGTTGTTGATTCATGTTTTTATATTTACATGAAATATGATGAATTTTTAATGTTAGGTTAATGTGAAGAGTGTGTAACAGATATTTCTTTTTAAGTATATGTTCAACACGTGAATGGGTATGTATAATAGTTTGTTGGTGTTTTAAAATATAGAGATTGTGGGCCCTAGTTTGAGTAATTTAAATGATAAATATATACATGAAAATTTTAATTTGTTATTAGTTAAGAAATATAAACAAAAAAGGTTGATGTTTCATTTACGGTTTAAAAACAATAATTACATTTTAAATAGTGCTTATGAATATTTATTGATATTCCGTTAAAAAAAAAGTATTTAGTGATATGAATCAATAATATTGTGTAATATTATATCTTGTATAGGTTTTACAATGAGCCAGGATAGATCATGGATGTATAAAAGGCTTGCAAGACGTGGAGTTCTAAATGAAGATTTTAAGGAAGGAGTTGCCGAATTTATCCAAAGTGCGGTAAACTTATATCCAACTGGTGTTATTGCATGTCCTTGTAGAAAGTGCAAGAACAAAAAGTGGCTGACATGGGATATTGTTAAGCAACATTTATTTGAAAAGGGTTTTGTGGAAGATTATTATGTATGGGAGGCACATGGGGAGCCACATAATTCAAATGGATTAGTTTATTTGAATGAAAGTAGCTCATCTCATGTCAACACATCTCAAGGGCAATATGATCCGTACAAATCAATGTTTGAAGATGCAATAAGGAATGAACTCCCAATGGGATTTGATCACGGTGAGGCTGCAGATGAACCTTGTCCTATCACAACACAAATGTATGAAATGTTGGATACAATGAGCCAACCGTGTTTCGATGGCTGTCCGATGACGCAATTGAGTGCAATGACAGAAATGCTGAATATAAAAACTGAGATGCATTTATCAGAGGCTGCAATGGATAGAATTTCTCAATTCGTAAATAGGTTTTTCCCATCAAGCATCCCAAACAATCCAATTCCAAATTTCAACAAAATCAAAAGAAAACTATCTGTGTTAGGAATGAGCCATCAATCCATCGACTGTTGCCCGAACGGGTGCATGTTATATTGGAGAGCAGATAGTGAGTTATTGGAATGTAAATTTTGCTCAACTGCAAGGTACGACTTTAGCAACCAGTCAAATAAATGTATTCCACTTGCAAAAATGGAGTACTTTCCTCTTACTCCTAGGCTGCAACGACTCTATGCTTCATCTGCTACAGCAGATGATATGAGGTGGCATAAATTTCACCACAGTGAGGAAGGAGTAATGCGCCACCCGTCAGATGCAAAGGCGTGGATTCATGTTGATAATGTTTATCCAAAGTTTGCTGCAGGTCCGAGAAATGTGAGACTTGGTCTATGCACAGATGGGTTCCAACCTTTTGGTCAATTTGGACAACAATATTCATGTTGGCCTGTGATTGTGACACCGTATAATTTGCCTCCAGGTATGTATGTGTATGAAATAACAATTCTTATTTTTAACTATATTAGTTCCAGGACCAAGGAATCCAGCGAAAGGGATCGATGTGTACCTGCAACCACTGGTGGAGGAGCTTAAGGAATTGTGGGAGGTTGGTGTCACGACATATGACGCAGTTTCACAGCATAACTTTAATATGAGAGCGATTTTGCTATGGACGATTAGTGATCTTCCAGCATATGCGATGTTATCAGGATGGACCACAAAGGGAAAGTTTGCATGTCCATATTGTACTGAGTTTACTGAAGCATTCTGGCTACCCCACAGTAAAAAGCATAGTTGGTTTGATAATCACAGGAAGTTTTTACCAGGTCACCATCCATTTCGGTTTGATGAAAATAACTTTACTAAAGGTAAATCAATCTTGTATGGTCCTCCGATTCACAGGGATGGGTTGTACTGCTATGATGAGGTAAATGGTTTTATGTCAGTTACTGAATTGGGTGGTATGGAGCATAATGCAATTGCTGGAAAAGATATTGGATGGAAGAAGCGTAGCATCTTTTGGGATCTCCCGTACTGGAAGGATTTGCTCATAAGACACAACCTTGATGTCATGCACATAGAGAATAATTTCTTTGAAAATATCTTTTATACAATTTTGGGAGTACCAGGAAAATCGAAGGATCATACGCAAGGGAGAATAGATATGGAACAAATTTGTCATAGGCCGAACATGGAGAGAGACTCTCGGGGGAAATACCCTAAAGCTCCTTTCACCCTTTCAAATGAACAAAAAGGTGTCTTGATCAACTGGATTGATTCATTAAAGTTCCCAGATGGTTTTGCATCTCGATTAGGGCGTTGTGTGCAAATGGACAAACTTAAGGTATTTGGTATGAAGAGCCATGATTGTCATGTCTTCATGCAACGCCTATTACCGGTTGCTTTCAGAGAGATGCTACCTGATTGGATTTGGGAGGCCATTACGGAGATTAGCTTATTCTTTCGTGAGCTAACAAGAAAGACTATATTGGTCCGTGGCATTGAGAAGCTAAAGGAAGATATCCCCGTGATCATGTGCAAGTTGGAGAAGATTTTTCCACCCTCATTCTTTGATCCTACAGAACACCTTGTTGTGCACTTACCAGATGAAGCTTTGCTTGGGGGGCCTCCACAATATCGATGGATGTATCGTTTTGAAAGGTAGATGTTAAAACTTATTATAAGTCAGCCACAAATAACCAACAACGTGTAATTCCAACACTCCAAAACCTCGAACCATTATCCAATGATGAGAATAACTCATCAACACCTGAAACTGGTGAGGATCCACTAGAAGACAATGCTGCCACACACATTTCAAATGAAGATACCGAAGAGGATCCCAAAGAATGGAAGCCGGAAGTATACGCTCATCTTAATTGGGGGGAATCACCTCTGGACCCTTTCAAACCTGTATCAGTTGCACAATTTGAAAAGCCCAACGTTGGTGTAAATGCAACCAAGAAGTGAGTTTCAGTGTTCACCATCAGAACACTGTTTTATACTTTTTTAACTTCAATCTAACTAACTCAATTCATTAAAATGCAGCCTAACAAACGTAGTTATCAACCAAAGAAGTTTGAGATTCCAGAGAATTGTGGGTAAACAAATCAGATATAATTTGCACCCTGCATGCCAACATTGGAAATGGGTTCCAGAGAGAACAAAGAAGCTTTATTGGGATCAGTTTAAGGTTATTTTAATTCTGTAGTAAATCATTTTTAATTATTTAGTTTCTTAAATCAATTATTTGTTATTGCACAGAGGTTAGTTACTTGGGATATTGAGCAGTTCAGTGATGAGCAAATAAAAGAAGGTTATATAAATTATTTGAAAGAACATGCCTACTCCAACATTTTGACTCGAATAAGGTAGAATGATAAATGTTTTGTTTTTTTTCTTCTCAATATTCAATTTTTCTTTCAAGATACATGGTTTACATAATTTGTTTGTCTAACTAATTCAAATTTTCAAGGAACAAGCGGCCTGTAACTGTGAACGATTTCACTTGGTCAGTTGTGAAAGAATATATGAGGTCTAAACAGTTCCTAAGGGCATCTAAGTCCGGTAAAAAAAACCGCCTTGCTGGTGGGGATAGGTGCAAGCAGTATGGGGGATCCCGAGCTGCTGTTGATGTAGCTACACAGGAGGTAAGATTTTAAATGGCTTTAGCATGTTGGTCTTATTTTTAGTTATACCTCGTTACTCCATGTAGTAGTAACAGATTATTGAGTATTATTATTAAAAAAACAGATTATTGAGTATAACAATGCTGCAAGTGATATGAGATTTTTTACTATAATGAGAAAGGCACACTGTCAGAGCAAAGCAGTTAGATTTTCAATGTGTACTATAATGAGAAAGGCACACTGTCAGAGCAAAGCACGCTGCAGTTGTAACTTGCACTTGCACCATTGCTTGATTGAAGTCAATAAGTCTAGCATTTTGCACAAAAGACACTTCCAGTCAATAAAGCCCTAAAGACACTATGCAGGGATTTTTTTTAGGCCTTTTCCCATGAATAGTACTAAATTAAATTCAAAACACAAAAATATGACTTAATTTAATATTTTTTCAAAAAAGTGACATTCAGTGACTATATTAAATGTCTATAAAGTTGACCAAATTAAATGTCTATAGACATTTAATTTAGTACTATTCATGGTAAAAAGATTAAAAATGCAGTTAGATTTCCATGGATACCAAATTTAGATTGCTAGGATGTGATGGCATTATTTTATTCATTTTAACTAATAATAAGAATGGAAAGTTTTTTAGTAAGAGGCTGATATGGAGGTATTATGTATTTATTGATTTAGAAATTCTTTCGAACACTTTGTTTTGTTCACACAGTTTCAATGCCTCTTAATAAGAAGCATTGCTAATTGAGTGCTATTATATACTAATAGATTCATCATACTTATATGAATTTTGATACTTTGTTTTAGTTGAGGGCCACAGGCAAAGAAATAAATCCTGTGAAGATGTATGGCACTTATCACCCAGACAAAAGGAAGAATGGAGAGCTTATTACTTGTGCTTCACACGATGTGATAAAGGTATTCACTTACTCTTTAATTTACTTTGTACGTAGTACATATTTTGCTATATACTACAAAAACGGTTACATTTAAGCTTAAACTAGAAGTATTTAAAATGTAATATTGTTTAGTTTTATGGAATAATATGCTTCTTTTTTCCTTGATGTAAATGATATGTTTTGTGATGATAAAAAATTGTTGCATTTTTTTAGCGAAAAATTCACACGAATAATCTCAACTATTGACAGTCTTCTCATATTAATCTCAAGTATGGATAATTCTAAAATAATCTGAAATTTATGGGTTGTCTTCTCATGTTGATCCGATGTGACCTACTACTTACTAAACAGGTAAACAAATTAAAAAAGAAAAAGGTAAACGAAGGAAAGTAAATGCAGGACGGACGACTCAAGTAGTCAAGCCTAGCTTTGCCTGCGGTCATCTTCCCCATTTGCATTTTTTTTTCTGTTTTCTTTTCATTTTTCCCTCCTGCCCCTTTCTTCTTCTTTATTCCTTTCTGATGCAATTGACGGATACCACACTAATAAGGAAGAAGAGTTCAAGTGATTTGGGTTGTAGCCATGTTTTCCAGATCCAGGATTGCTCCAACCATTAATTATTCTCTATTGTATTTCTTCTTTTTATGTTCTCCCTCCACCACATCTCATTATCTCCTTCCCACTTCAACTTCATTTTGTTTTACTTCGTATTTTGATTTTCAACCATCTTCAAATTTTAACATCTTTCTTTGACTTTCAGATTTGAAAAAGTTAACTTGGTCAATCCAAATTCAAATTTGACATTGTTTATCATGAACGATAACAAAAATTGAATGCTATTCGACCAACAGTTCATGGAGACCAAGCCATCTGGGATGGAAAGACGGACGGCAATTATGAACTTTTGACTGTTTTAGTGCTTTCAAACTAATATGTGGGATTAATGATATTAACTTTTCCCTTTTTAGTGATTTCAATTGTTTTAAGTAAATTTGACAGTCTGTGTGTGTAAGCTTTTGCCTGAGGAAAGTATGAAACTGATTTCATTTAGTGTTTTACACTTTTAATCTGTTTTGATTCATTGGTGAATGAATTTTGTGTTTGACAGAATTCTTAAGTACAATTTGCATCCAGCAGGCCAAAGAAGTGATTTCTATTTATACTATTTTTGTGTTTGACACTTTTGGAACTCCCTGGATCGCTATATAGTCACATAACAAGTGTAACATATTGAACTTTTGTTGTAAAAAAATACCCTGCACAGAACTTTTGTTGTTTGTTTTTTGCAGGTTTACTTATTTTGTGGTTCCAAAATATCAATGTGGCTTTGATATTTTGTAGGTCTACAAAATGTGGCAGAACTCTGTAATATTTGTAGCTTCTATTGGTAGCTATGGCTAAAATAGAATGTGGCATATGGCAGCTTCTATTGTTCAATTTATTTGTAGGTGTACTTATGTTTGTTAGTTTTTATATGTATAGGAGGCTTTGAGTAAATTGTACGATGTTTGTCAAGATGATAGCCCACAACAATCTGAACCTTCAAGTCAAGAGGAAAGCTCTGCAACACCTAATATCTCTTCAGCTAAGTTATCTTCAAGATACTTGGAAATCGTTGGGTGCAACAAGAAAAGAGTTCTTGGAACGGGCAGTTATTCAAAGGCTTTCCTTCATCGAGTAAGTGTTTGTAATGCAGAACACTCGTCTTCATCAAGAGCTCGTCGGTTGCATGATTTTTGTGTTTTTTGGGATGCACGCATGAGGGAGTTCTTAATTTAAGAAGGTGATCAACTCCCCCCTGAAATGCCAATTGTGGATGACATTATTCAAGACAAGGAACCTGACTCACAGCCCAAGAACTTTGAACAAACGTGGCTGCCATTTTTGAAATCAATGGGGATCGATGCACCAAGTTTCTTTGCCACATCAGAATCCTCTAAAGACTCCATGGACTCTCTTGATGAATAACTCTCTCATTAGATTTGTGTTAAGTTTGATATTAATGTGTTTTTTTAATGTTGCATTTCACTATGGATTGATGAATGATGAATGATGAATGTTTATTTATTAGCAAGCTTTTGATCAATACATTAAATGTTATGTGTTGAAAGTCTATTAGATGTTTTGTGATTTGCATTGAGAATTTAGATCTACATTTTTTGGAATATAAATCTTGCAGAATTATTTTGTTTATATTATTAAAAGTATATATGTTATTAAAAAATAATTTATATATTTAAAAAAACACTGTTCAAAATTATGGGGGGATGTACGTTATTTGGTAATGCTAAATAGGAATTTTAAATTAATTTTCCGTTTTATATTTTTAAAGCATATTTAAAAAACAAAATTATTTATTTTAAAATATATATCACTGACGGATTTTTGTGGCGGAATATCAGACACTAATTGTAATGGCGGAATTGCAGCCACAAACTTCCGCCGCTACTTTGCTTCCGCCCAATTTATCCGACACTAATCCATTTTGTGTCCAGGTTTTAGGGTCGGAACATCCGCCACTAATATCCGACACTAATGACGTTAGTGACGGATTCAGTGTCGGATTTTCAGACACTAAACTCCGAAAATTCTTGTAGTGGAACGGAGATAATACATCATACAAAGTATGTATATGTGGAGTTTTGGAAGGTGGATGGATTTTTCTTGATCATTTTAAATGCTTATAAATGATGTAAGTACAAATTATGTAGCATATATGTGTTCTAAGAAGCTCAAAAGTTTCCTTTATGTTTATCTACATCCAATTTTAGAAGCTAAATAGGTTTTCCTTTTATCTTCTTTTAAATGCATATAAATGTTGTGTATATAATTTATGCCATGTATATGTGTTTATACGTAACTCCTACGTAGGAACATGGATTAAAATTTAATATGGCACAGCCACTTGGCGAATTTTCCCATGAAGAGTATTACCATGTGTCAAAACTTTCTCTAAATCATTCTACCAAGGTTTGCTTTATTATATTATATAGATATAGATATAGATATGGATATGTTTTCCTCTTTTCAAAATTAATTTATAATATTTCATGATATAGTACTTAATATGAGTTCTCAAAGAAGAAAATTTTAAAATATTTTATCATGATAACTATTTTAGTCAATTTTAGTGTTTCTCTTCCTGAACATAAAAAATGATATTAATTTCTTGACTTTGACAAATGAATAACAACACAGCTCATTGATTTAGGGCTTAAGATACTTATTTTATAAAAAAAAACTATTTTTATAATGTTTAATTTATTTTTAACAACTCAAAAGTATCCAATTTTATAAAATAACAAGCAATACTATAACATCATATGCACTAGTTAATTTATATATATATATATATATATATATATATATATATATATATATATATATATATTATGAAGTGAATTCAAAATATAAATATTTGGGAAATATAAAAATTATACAACTCATTGACTTTTGTCTTTTTTAAAGACTTTATTCCATAAATAATGAACATTAAACTCTCCTAGCTTTAATAAAAATATAATTTGAGCCAACTATATAAAATAGTAACATAAAATTATAGAAATAATTACAAATATATAACCAAAATAAGTGAAGTAGAAAAAAATATGATCTAATAACTTTTAGTGACTAATTAATTGCATTCAAATGTTACATTATAGTGACTATAAAACTTACCCCTAATCGCTTAGAGCATCTCCAACCGTTAGCTAATTACCTTCGTAGCTTGACTAGCCACATAAGCATTTGCAGCAAAATTAAAATTTACTCCAAAGGTTAGCTATGTCATCTTCTTCTTCATTTATTATTAATAATGTTATATTTAATCATTTATTTGCTCAAACTAGTAGCTCATTTTGACTAATTAGCTTTCTCAAGCAAAAGGTTAAGCAATGCTCCAAAGATAAACTATTAGCTATAAAATTGCAAGCAAGTCCTTAAAAGGGATCATTGGAGATGCTCTTATAGTCACAGCTCATAGGTTTTTTATTACTCCGCAGTAATATTTTAAAAAAAAAAACTACTTTTTATAAAAAATTAATAATATAATTTTTATTTTGATATGGTATTACTTAGACTTGATTAGGATTTAATTTATGTATATCATTTTCTAGAGTACTTCATATATTAATTTTAGTTATTTTTGTCATTATATAAATCTAGATACAGTACATTTAAATTGAATGTTTGTGTTAATAAAAACATTTTCTTGAATAATGTTCCTACGGCAAAGTCCTACACTAATTAATGAAAATGTTTCGCCCTGAACCATAAATCCTGAATGGTTCTATGTAGTGTAAATATGTCATTATCAATTTGGGTTCTATACTTCTATAGAGTAATGGAGAAGGTAGGGTATATAATTTAATCATTATGTAGTGTATTATTTTCTAAGAAGATATGATGACTTCCGAAAATCCAGTTTCAATTCTTTCATACTCCTTTTAGTTTACCATGTTAATTTTAGTCGTGTGTTACAAATTATTTATAAAGAATATTGTTATTTTTTTTAAGATGAAACAATTAACTATCATTCAAAGAATCCGAGTTTAGTACATGAGTAATGAAAGAAGGAGATAAATCATCCCAATAAACACAGTCAGACACAGAACAAGCGACTTTAGATATCTTGTGAGCCGCCTTGTTCGCTGACCGTCTAATGTGAAAAAAAAGATATGTCGGTAAAGCCCAAAGCAATTTCTTGAATATCACCACCAATAATCCCGACTAAAGAAACACTCGACTCCTGAAGAATCTCAGCCACAGCCCCCGACGAGTCTGACTCCACCTCAACACTATCCCAACCTCTTTCTTTCATCCAGCTCAAAGCCTCTCTAATTCCAATAAGCTCATCTTCCAATGAGGACAAAACTCCGTGCCCAACCTTCGCCACACCTGCAATAAAATCCCCTGCTTCATTACGTAATACCCATCTCAGACCACACATCTTTTCTCTCACAGCTGCATCCACATTCAACTTGTATCTTTCCGGAGAAGGTTTCTTCCAAGCTGAAATTGTAGGCCTTCTAATAATGCTTTCACGACCTACTGGTTGTTGTGCAAGTCCCCAGCCATCAACATACATTCTAGTCTTCACAAGGATCTGTTTCGGATCTGAAATAACCCCATTCCAGCCCATCCTAAAAGTATTGTCTAGCCCACCCCAAAGGCATGATTAAAGACAAGTCAAACAATTAAAAGCCCATAAGGCCATAACCATGACAACATATGATCCCACGGCATAAAGCCGAGCAAGGGGCTTATTGTAGATTTGTAGTCATCGTTGCTTCCAATTTACGTAAGGAGCAATTCTTTTATAGGATACTGAGTAGGATGAACCATTATTTGCAACCGGTGTGGGAAAAATTGAGATTTGTTTACATATGGAGTACAATACTCCTATCTCACCCACTCACACCACATCATCACTTACTCCTTTGAAGTTATAGTATTTTATATTTTATATTACAACATCAATTTACAAAATTATTATGCTAAACAGTAATTTGACGATTATTATATTATATTATATTATATTATATTATATTATATTATATTATATTATATTATATTATATTATATTATATTATATTATATTATATTATATTATATTATATTATATTATATTATATTATATTATATTATATTATATTATATTATATTATATTATATTATATTATATTATATTATATTATATTACATTACATTACATTACATTACATTACATTACATTACATTACATTACATTACATTACATTACATTACATTACATTACATTACATTATATTACATTATATTATATTATATTATATTATATTATATTATATTATATTATATTATATTATATTATATTATATTATATTATATTATATTATATTATATTATATTATATTATATTATATTATATTATATTATATTATATTATATTATATTATATTATATTATATTACTATTATTAATATAGTAATACTATTATATTTATCATGAATTTTTTGGTATCCTTTTTTCTCATTTCTCTTTTAATTGGGTTTTTTATGGCCCAATTTCACTATTTTTATTATCATTGTTTTTTTAAAAAGGGTATGCCCTTTTTGGAGAGATCTTGGTCTTGTCCCCTTCTCCTCTTGCACTTTCTTTTTTTCCCTAATAAAACTTGGCAATGCTCCCGACTAATTTTAGTGGTTTATCTACCGGGAAAAAGAATCATGAGTTTTTTTTGTAAAATATTGCATGTTTTTATTTAAGATTACATTTATATACTACCTAATACTTCTAGATTTATTTATTGTTTGGAAATATAAGAAAAAAATTAAAAATCTCAATTCAATTGTGAAATAGGAATACTTATTAGTTATATGTACACCGATTCTTTTTACTTATTAGTTTTATACCTTTAAAGAAGTACTTCAATTCATACCAATAAATACCAGAGTCTTTAATAATCATTAAAAAATTATAAAATTGCACTAAAACATTTAAATGTTAAGATATATAAATTTTATTCCTATAATTTATGAGTTATCGATAGGCTCGAGTTCGGACCGAATTGAATATCACTATGCTCAAACTTGGCTTCAATAACTATTCCAACTAAAAATCTAGCCCGTGTTCGAGTTTGAACTTCGCTAAGTTCGGGTTGTTAAATTAAATTCGAAATCATGCTAGAACTCGAATACTTCAAAAAAAAAAAGTTTGGTTCGATAACAGCCTTAAGTTAAACCTCTTGTGTGTAGTAACAAATTCTTTTACTGCTTAGCCCACCCCACCCTGCATTCCTGGATATAACCCCTGTTCACACCATAACCCCTAACAACCCCAAACCAACCTACACAAATCTTCCTCTTTCCTCACACCATAACAATAAAGAATATTGTTATATTATATTGATTTTATATTAAAGGCAATTGTTTCATGTTTTGACTGGTCTAATTAAGCGGGTTAGATATTTTAGGAATCATCTGTGATGAGCCCGATTTGTCGGGCTTGGTTAGTATGGGTATTTTTGCCCGACCCATCTAAAAAGAAAAAATTCGGACCAATAACACTTTTCGGAACTATTGAGCAATCAACCTTAAACCTTTAGAGGGATCGGAGAGTGTTTCTTTGTTCCTCTAAAAAATGCAAGGACTTTCACAAGTGCAAATCTAGGAGCGGCACACGACGGTGAAGAATGTGGAGAGGAGTCTGAGGCTCTGAGCAAGATGCATCAAGTATTCCTGAATAAAAGAGAGACGGCATTGGTCTTCCTAACGTTGGGGAGAGTTTTTTTTGGGAAGAAGCTAGGGGCTTGGATTGATATCACAGCATTCAGATAGAGGTTAAAAGAACTAACTCGTTGATCCTAACTTGGGCATAATTGAGTCAAAGACGGTTAATGCAGATCTCTCGTCACCCAATCCTAATGCAAGAGTCTTACAGCAACAAACAAAATAAAAATAAATGACAACAGTCTTAACCAGGAAATTAAAGTGCAAAACAACAAAAAAAATAAACACCATAACTTGTTCTCTTGCACAAAAATACCAGTCCCACGTCCGGCGGGTCTAGAAGCCCGGACCCGCCGCCTCCCCGTTTTTTTGTCTGTCCAAGTACATGCTCCCGCCTCCTTTTTCATCGAAATTCAGTTCGTTGTCCTCCTCTTCAATAACCATCTTCTTGTAGTGATTCACACTATCGTCCATTAAAGCCTTCGGAGTGTTGACAGAACCATTGCCCTGCGGTCGATTTGGAAACAATGCTGAGACTTCAGCCTTGTCGACTCGATTCCGCAGCACTCTGCCTGCACAAACAATCAGATGTTTGAAATAAATAATATTCTTCCCCTCCCCATTAGCTGATTTGGAACTAAAAACTCTGTCACTTGTGTGCTTCCATTTGATAGAGGTAGTACCTCTATCAACCATAGGTTCCGCCTCCCCATGAATTAGGCAAATTCTCCCCTAGGTAGGAGAATATTAATTAATTCTTATTCATATTTGAATTTAATATTTTGAGCATTACTTAAAGGATCAACTAGTTTTGTATCATATACGGAGTATTATTTATTACTAGAATCGATCGACGAATACGCTTGTTAATCGTTCAATGTTTTCACGGTAGTAAACTTGGATTATTAATGCATGCGTTGAGGTTATCTTTTCACGCTTGTTAATAATCTAAGGAGAATTAATTATATTGATTAAACCAATAAAGCGCTTGTGTTGAGGTTATCAATTTCAATCTTGAATTTATTGCTACTATCGAGTAAATATACAAAGCGTGTTCTATATTAATTTGGTAGTAAGTTTTATTAATGAACGCGTCTCGTTTTTAATAACTACCCTCAATGAACTGGATATGCTCCTCGATTGAGTATTCGAGAGGAAGATAGTTAAAGATATAACTGGGATCGACGGACATTTCATTAAGTGAATAAAAGCAAAACCAAGACTAATTACCTTTGATATTTTATTTCACTCATTTAAGTATTTTATTTGCTTTCTCAATTATCAAAATATCCAATCCCCCCTTCCGTTTACTTTTATTTATTACGCTTACACATACGCGAAAAGCGTCTTTCCCTGTGGATACGAACCTTACTATGCTATACTACGGTATTAGCCCTTAGTAGTGAATTTAATTTGAGGCACACTACGACAAAGTGCTCGTCAAATTTGGCGCCGTTGCCGGGGAAAGGCTACACTTTTTAACTGTGTGTTTGTGTAATTTTGTTTTTAATTTTCTTTTATGTTTTTTCATTTACCTTGAATAAATTGAAAAGTGCGGGTACACACTTTGATTTTCTACCCCATCCCAAATCCATATTCCCAGCTTAACCCCATTTGCTAGTGAGATGAAGAAAAAATGGGGAGCTACGATGAAAACCCGAAAAGGACTCCTAGGCAAAATGAGAGAAAACGAGATAAATTTTATTTTTTGTAGGAGAAAATTTCGTGTGTAAGTTCAAACAACAAGATGCCAGATCGGGTACAGGCCATACTCGTTCGGGTTTTTTCAAAGAGCTTCTCGAAATATTCAAAGGCTAGCACAAAAAGCTTAGCGGGGGGAGCATGAACAGATAAAACCTTGGGAGAAGGAACCGATTTTAAATGTGAGAAGAAACATGACACTCCTAAGTATTGAACTTAATCGAATTGCACTTTACTTGAGGACGAGTAAAAGATTAAGCATGAGGATATTTGATGTGTACTATTTAGTAGTGCATAAACACCACATTTTAGAATGGTTTTATATTATGTTTACTTGGCTTTTGTACAATTACGGTGTAATCTTTATCTTCCAAAATTAAAGTGGAATTAGAAGATATTAAGATATTTTGACATGTAAGCAAAAACATGATGAAAAAAAGAGGAAGGGGCTTGGGAGCATAAGAAAGGAGCATTGGAGACAAGAGGAAGCTTCATGGAGAACAAAGAAATGTGAAAAATCAGATATGATTTGACCCGGAGATCATAAGAGATCAAATAAAGCAAGTGAACATGGAAAATCAGATTATGTCTTAGACCCAACCACATCACTTCTCCTATAAAAACACCCTTTTCCTTCCTATTTTAGAGACCAATTTAATCCCCTCTTTCATATACACTTTATTCTTGTAATTTAGATAGTCTTTCCATCTTGGTTTTGCTACTTTGAAGCTTAATGAATTGTAAGTTGTGAGTTATTTTCTTTAATCTTCTACCTTGAATATTAATTTTTCCCTTAATACTATCTCTATATTAATGTTGGGGAGTGTTACTAAGATGACAATTGGTTAACATCTCGACATTAGTTAGAGTAGTATATTTATTTTCTTCCTCTATATTAATGTTGGGGAGTGTTACTAAAATGACAATTAGTTAACATCTTAACATTAGTTATAGTAGGATTTATATCTTCTTTAATATTATTCCTTGAATATTAATTAATTCCTATTCATATTTCATTTTAATATTTTGAGCATTACTTAAAGGATCAACTAGTTTTGTCTCATATATTAATTATTACTAGAATGATCGACGAATACGCTTGTTAATCATTCGATCTTTTCACGGTAGTAAACTTGGATTATTAATGCATGTGTCTCATGGTTAATAATCTAAGGGGAATTTATTATATTGATTAAACCAATAAACCGCTTGTGTTGAGGTTATCAATTTCAATCGTTTTCATCTTGAATTTATTGCTACTATCGAGTAAATATACAAAGCGTGTTTTATATTAATTTGATAGTAAGTTTTATTAATGAACGCGTCTCGTTATTAATAACTACCCTCAATGAACTGGATATACTCCTCGATT